ATGAGTATTTTATACTACCATTGAACATCTCTGTCTACATCGATCCCCCAGCACTTAACAGTGGCAATTAATTAGACGTTTTGTTGGAGTCCTGATCCGAGCAATGGTGTTGTTTCAGTGCTCTCATCAAAATTGATACTTGTCAATCTTGGACTAACATTTGTGCACTGATGATCACCTTGTGACACTTGAAAAGTCAATCCCTCGGCACCCTCACCAGGACTTCCTTCTTGTTCATGGTCGTCCGAAAGGTTCACTTCTGTTTGATTGGCATCTTCTTTTACCGCATCCGTTTGAGTGGCAGCTTCTTTTACCGCATCCGTTTGAGTGGCAGCTTCTTTTACCGCATACGTTTGAGTGGCAGCTTCTTTTACCGCATCCGTTTGAGTGGCAGCTCCTTTTACCGCATCCGTTTGAGTGTCAGCTTCTTTTACCGCATCCGTTTGAGTGTCAGCTTCTTTTACCGCATCCGTTTGAGTGGCAGCTTCTTTTACCGCATTCTCGGAGACAAAAAAATCGCGTACAATCTTCTTGACCCTATATCCATTTTCTTTGTCAAGCAAATTCTTGGAATTGCCTCCACCGAAGATCTCGATAAATTTCGGGATTAACCCACCCAAAGCAATCGCCAAAGTTTTAGTGAAATCGTTTAGACTTGTTTCCCCATAAACCAAGATGGACCAGTAAGTTATGGATAAAAATGATCCAATCATAATTATTCGTATGAACATTACCGTGTAAACCTTGCTGAATGGCTGGATTTCGTCGACAACTTTTTGAAATAAGCCACTCAATCGACAAATTCTTGGTACCCCTTTGTTATCTATAAGTATGACCTGCTTTTCCTCTTCTTTTTGGTAATCTTTGCACTTCTCAAAGGTTTCGTCAAGAAGGTGTTTGTATTTACTTTCAACATCGCTGAAACAGTTCCAGATGTAGAATCCGAAAAGGGAAAAGAGTACAATAGGAGGCAAAAGGTCATCTTTACTGGCCACTATTCCCATGCAGAGATATGTGATCATTCTTGAGATTAACATTAGTGAGCTTGAGATCATAAATCCCAAAGCTACTATATTATAAGTAATAAGAATTCCTAGCGGCAGAAATACAACACCACTTACAGCTTGAAAAAGTGCAGCGTTAGACTTGAGCTTTTCAAACCACTTAACTTTCAGTAAGTACCAATCAAGCCATGCCGCGCTGATAAATACATGGGAAAGGATACGAGAGAATTCTTGGCTCAATGGTGACGCATAACAACTATAGCCAATGAATATCAATATAGCAGTCACGGGAAATATGATCAATATGAGAAAACAACTGAGAATAAAGTTGATGATTCTCTTGGAAGGTGATGATCGACTCCCTTCAGTCAGTCCTTTAAAACCAAAGCAGAATTTCTCAAAAACGTTTCCTGATATAGAGTAGGGTTTCATCCAGTCTAATTTTTTGTTCTGGTGAATCGAGGAATATTCGTGCACCTTGTCCGTTGTAATGTAAAAAGCAGCAGTTTTATCTCTTGGAAGTAAAGAAATGATTACGGCCACAATACTATAAACCTTGATGAAAAGCACTGCATTACCAAGGTTCTCTTCCTGCCATCTCATCCTCACGGCATCATTGAACATCTTTGGTATGTCATATTTCGCGGTGTAGGCTGTGACTCCCCAGTAAATATAAAACAAGAAGGGCAGTGAAAAACCAATCAGCAGTTTTCTTATCACATTGACTAAATAATATTTACACGAATAACGTCGAAGTGTCTGGACAGCACAGTTTGCAATACGATAGAAGGGATTGCGAACTTGTACATTACCGCTTATGGTTTCTGAGCAGTCATCTTTATCTGGGAAGCTAACCAAAGTGGCGGGGAAACAAAAAAAGGATATTGTTGCCACAATGACTATTGTAAAGAAAATTCCAGACATCTGGGGACTAATTGAAGCAGGGATGTTGCATTCAATTTGTTGTTTGTCAGAGTTCCCTTTGCAACACATATATTGCATTTCGTCGTTGTTCTTGGTCTTATTCAAAACATAACACAAGGCACCTCTTTGTTGACTGACGTTAGTTAAGAATGCTGTGGCCAAACTCGATGTTATGCAACTGTAACTCATGTTCAATAAGCATTTGGATGACTCAAATCCTACCATTACAGACATATTAAGTACTTTTCGCCAGAGAGTCGTAAAAGAATAGACATTGAAGCCTAAATTCAGTGAAAGGAATGGTGCTGTGATGTTTTCAACCCAAACAAGATTCAGGGGATCCAGAATTTCCGGTTCTTTCGAGGGCTGAAGCATTGATAAATTGATTCCTTGGAAGTGCACAAAAACCGCTTGAGAGTTGTCTAAAGCAAACGAGTTAAACTTTTCCACAGATAATCGAGGAAGATTAAACTCGCATCTATTCTGATACGGTGAAGTAAACTGCCCAATCTCCGGCGTCGAATTATTGAAATCCAAAATGTTAGCCATGAAAATAGAATATCCGATAATGGTAAAATACGTAAATACCAAAAAATCATACATAAATATAATCGTTTCCATTTTCTTGGCTGGTACCGCTTTATAACGAGCAATATAAAAGCTTGATACTTCTATCTGTTTCTTCAGACAATCTCGTGATTTTGAGGTCACGACTCTATAGACAAAGTAATGGGCACAACTGCATGACAACAGATGAATGTCACTGTCAAACAAGGCTATTTACTCGTGACCAGGCCCTAGGCCGGGTCACGAGTCAGAAAATGCAGCGCGTATAGTTTTGTTTTTTTTTTCTATGTGAGACCTTTGTCTTCGGGCTGACCTTTGCGTCCCGAACGCATATCACATTACGAACTCGGCTGTGCGATCTCTAAACGAAAGATCACATTACGAACTCGGCTGTAAACAAGCGTATCATAGAACAGCAAAACTGCTCGTGAATTACTGTAGCTTTTATACGAACGAGATATAAATCGATACTTCGTAGAAGCCCGTGGATGTCTCATACAGCACGCAGTTTGAATGGAAGAATTATTCTTCAAAACTCAGAATTATCGACTCTTCAAGTCCGCGGACTCTGCCGCTTATTACTCATCTGAGTATTTGGGATAGCGGAAAGTTTTCTGTTAAAGGCGAAGAGATCTCAAGTTATACGATCGACAGCTCTTCTAGATACGAACTACTCTAAACAATCGTATCATAGAACAGCAATAACTGCCCGGGATTTACTGTAGTTTTTTAGTAATTCTTTGATATTCGAGGCCTTTTGTTATAGTCCAGTCATCCTGTGAATTTTTTTGGGTCGAGTTCAAACAAATTGTAAAAGAATGTTTTTCACTTCAGAATCAAAGATAAATGCCAGCTAGCAAACATACTAAAAATTCGCAAAAATTCGTGTGGTGGAACATTGTGAAATTAAGTGTCAAACTTCTTAAAATACAACAACGATCACCACAGGGTACCCACATCTTGTAAAATTCCACACATTTCATTTGTGTGCAAAGTTTTGAACTTTAAATTGAGATAACATTCATAAACAATAAAAGATATTGTTTCTAAATTGTTATTGTATTAATTTTGCATTTGCAAATCTTTTTTAATCCATTTGAGATAAAAACTAACGTTTTGGAGTCCCTGTGTCTCGAGGAACGCCTGGGAGTTGTCAWSGTAGTTACMTCSTCTGTAAGTGCTCTAGTTTTCCCAAAGTTTTATATGTTTTTCATTCCATTTATTCTTACAATCTTCCTGTTATTATCAAGTAGAGATGTAAGCTAACTGTGATTAAAATCTAGCTTAATTTTAATGGCTTTTTATGCTCGTACATCAAGCTATTTGGCCTTTGAATTATATCGATTTGAMAATTTGGCGCCAAAATGTTTACGACAATGTAACAAAATGTTTTTTGTGAGTATTCAAGGCGTAAAGAAGTTGGAGAGAAAATCCTGTCATCTATGGTAGACGAGAATGCATATGAATATACGTTTTCCAAAAAATCGCAGGTAGTAACATTGTCGTCCAAAACCGACGTCAAATGTAGTGATGGAACCATGCAAGTGGACCCGAAGCTTCTATTAAAGGTAAAGGTAAAGGTGTTGGGTGCTAATCGTCCTTCATGGCAGCACGGGTGCTGAATTGCGAAAGACGCAGCTCGACGCGCTATCAAGTCGACACATTTTTACATACACTTACACATAGGCGTGCTGCCGGCTAGGCGCTTCCTTTACATAGCAACGAACGACTGAACGCGGAGCACAGCAGATAGAAATGGTTCGTTTTTACTGAGGGAGGAAAACCCGGAAAGACCCGGAAAAACCCTCGACGCAAGGGAGAGAACGAAAGAAACTCAAATCACATATGGCGCCCCGACCGAGATTCGAACAGGGTCCACAGAGGTGACAGGCCAGCGCTCTCACCGCTCGGCCACCCATGCGTCCCA